AAAATGATGTGTTAAGTACTGATAACTTTCCTCAACATTATTTGTTTGGAAGTTATGGTCAACCATTAGGGAAAGTTGAAATTGCACACTTAGATGACACGTCTTGGGTACAAGCACACCGATATGTTATTTTCCATCATGATTCAATAGATCCCTTTCGCACGTAAGTCTTTCGGACCCAAGCTATATGAAATCTCCTAATCTTTTATATATATCAATTTTTAACGACATAATATAATTTATAGTGAGTTTAAAGAAGTCTTGAGATCTCATGCACTCTCCCGAAGATTAAATCAGCGAGAGCTACATAAGTTATTCACAGAAACTTTTCATGAATGGTTAGGCCAGACGGTAAGAAACTAAATCTTACGCAACACTTATAAAAAATATATGTCTTGCTTTTTATATCAACATCAATGCAAATTAATTCACCATTCATGTGTAATAGGTTTGGAGTGGGAGAGAAGTTAGTGAAGATGTTAAATGGATTTCTCAAGGTCCGAATATAATAGTTAAAAGATAAAATACCTTCCTCATTAATGGGTTCAGGTTCCACACGAAATCTTGTGAAAGAATAAGGAGGACACAAAATTGTGGAGTCGTAGTTACTTCGTCAACTACAAGTTATGCTACTATCAGGGATAATAATCTGCAGGAGGGAGAGGTCGATTATTATGGAAATCTTACGGGCATTATTGAGTTAGATTATTATGGAAAACGAAAGGTTGTGCTGTTTCGGTGTGATTGAGTTAATGTAAATAGATGCATAAAAAGAGATAAATTCGGGTTTACAATGGTGAATTTCTCTCGATTAATTCATACGGGTCAACATTTGATGGATAAACCATATGTATTTTCTTCTCAAGTGAAACAAGTATTTTATTGTCATTATCCAATGGATACGGTTGGTATGTTGTGCTCCGAAATACTCCCAGATACTTGATAGACATCGAGGATGGAAGTAGAGATGAAATTGAAACAAGATCAGAATGTTTACCTCTACTACCACAAAACTTAGATGAAACTATCATAAAAACAACACAATTTCAATGGGTTCGGGAGGACGTTGATGAAGATATTTATGACACCTGACATTATATAAGAATGCTTACGATTTTATATCTTCATATATTTATTTATAATGTTATAACCTTTAACATGTTGTCTTTCAATATATTCATTAATTAATTCGTTTTTTTATTACACATGTTTGTTTATTACAGATATCATGCCGAGCAGAAAATAACTGATTTGCGGGTTGTTTGAGCTTCTGAAGACCATGAAGAAAGAAATAACGAGGAATCGAATGCACCTGAGTCTTCCGAAGTTCCTGAAACTGTTGAAGAAGAAGTATATATTCAAGGTAATAATCGAAACTTTATTTAATACTTTGTTCATTTTCAAAACTGACATTTAATAATTTCTTATATAGTTGAAAATGCTGGAACACGCAAGACTCGAGGACGTACAACTTTGAAGGAATTATATCAACTTCCTCCTGGGCATCGTGTCATAGTTTCAAGAAACGATGTCGGCCAACCTATTGGCCCAGAATCACGTCTTCTAGCAGGCTACTTAGGCATAGTTGGACGTAATGCGAATCTGTTACCGATCAATTATGAGTCGTGGCGCGAAATGCCTAATAGTAACAAAAATCAGGCTTTGGATTTTGTGAAGGTAATAATGTATTTATGATAGTTTCATCTATAGAAATTCAATACTAATGTATACTTATGGTGCACACTTATTTGCTGTATAGGAGAAATTTTCTTTAGAGGTCTCTGACGATTATGTGAAGCAAGCTGTCGAAACGGTCTTTTTCATGAGGGCGAGATTTCGAAAACCATGTCATTTTTAATTATTCTCTTTACGATTGATTTTTCAATTAAAAAAAATGTGATTTTATAAAACCTCTCGTTTCGAAAATTTGGAAATTCCTTTACAATAAAAAACATGTGGTTAGAGGAGTCACCTCTAATATTTGATTAGGGTGTGATTGGGCACCCAAAAACATTGTCATTTTATAAAAAAATAATTTTAATGAAAACGACAAATTTGCGGTCTACATTACCAAAATCCGGGTTCGGGAGTCGATTACGTGTGGGGAAGGATTAGCATCCCCACATCGCCCTAAATCGGTACCTAGTCGATTAATTAATGTCTTTGCAACGAATTTCACAAGTTCGAATTTAATTTGATTTATGATCCCTTAAAACAACAAAAATGCAAATTTTATAACATTCAATAGCAACAAAATAGATTTAATTCAAGTTACCAAACCATGAGAAAGATAAAGAATATTCAATTATTTACAAATATTGAGACTAGACCTTTAGGTGAGTTCTAATGATCTTTTTTTCAATGAATTTAAATAACCGAATATTTCTTTTTCTTTCATTCACAAATTTTAAGGTGATGAATAAATTCTTTTGGCGCCACTGATGGGATACACTTTAAAATCAACGAAAATAGCTTTCTAGTGAGTTAAGAAAAAGCATTCCGACAATTTTAAATTAAAAGGGTATTACCCTTAATCAAATTATGTAACCAGGTCCGGTGAAGCACATGTGGCTATCATGCAAAACTTAATTAAAAAGTAAACATTTACATATTAATCAATATTAAAAAATAAATTAATATTTACAAATAAAAAGAAATAAATAAATATATTTTAACTAAGATTAATAAACTCTATATAAGTGTATATAAAAAAATCATACATAAATATGACTAAAATATTACATAATGAAACCGAAATGAAACTATGATTAATATAATGGACTAAAAATATAAGAAACCCAAACATACCCACAACCAAAATGCAACATGTAAAAATTTAAAGGTCTAATGTCTAAATGATAAAAACAAAATAACCAACATTTATGACTAAAATTAAATAAGCATGAAATACAAAGATCAAATTAAAACACAACAAATTAGATTTAAAGACTAAAACGCCAATTAACCAAAATTACATGCTAAATGCGGAAACAAACAAAAAAAGAAAAATAACATAAACTGATGACCTAAAAAATAAACACTTACAAATATGAAGATCAAATTAAAAACTTGGAAATTTTGATTTAATGACTAAAACTAAATGCGCGCAACAATTGAGAACTAAATTAAAAACAAAAAAGATTTTACCCGAGGACTAAAATATAACATGCAAAAACTAGAAGACCGAATGTGCAAACGAAAGAAAATAAATCCCCTGGCATTCAGGACTAAAGCCAAATGTGCATAAAAGATAAAGACCATATTACGAAGCAAACAAGAGTCGACTTCAGGACCAAAATGTAAATCAACGACATATGTACAGTGACCTAAATAGAAAAACTAGAAACTAATGACCAACATAAGCAAAAGCAATAATTAAAACCCCAAGCATAAACATCATTTTTTACAAAAGCATTCAATAGGGACAGAAACGAAATTAATCAAAATAAGGAGCCAAAGAGAGTTTCATTCAAAATTATGATGATTACAGGCACAATACTACCAACATATTAACATACATGTGCACCCACAGAACACCATGATTCACGGAAAATATGGATAGAAAAAAAACAATTATTTGCTTCAACCAATTAAATAAAAGGTGCCTATCGTTTTTAAATACTTTCAATGATATTTAATAAGAGCTCACTAATCTCGTGTTTTGCTTACAATCGACAACCTGTACCCATGCTCGAACCTCAAAAACCACTTTTTTGAGGAGCACATAAACCGATGAATGCTATTGAATATACCAGAAACAACATTTGGTTTTCATTGAAAACCATAATTGAATAGAATTATCAAATACCTCATACGTCAGACCAAACATTCAATATGAATCTGAACTTATGATGCAGCAGCAGCTATTGATGTCCTCTCCATTTTCCCCTTTTCGATCTCTGCTCTCCTCTGTTCAGAATGCAACCGTCTTGTCTTCCTTCCTCTTCTGTGAATTCCCTGCTAATGGTTGATGGCTATCCCCCTGTTCCGTTGAAAACCGAGCCCCCTTCCTGTTGTGAATTCTCGTTCTGTTCTTGATGGCTCCCCTATTTGATATTTTGCTCGTGTCCCCTACTGTTTTCTGTTTTTGATAACCGCTCGTGGTTCTCCCTCTCGTGTTCGTCAGTTTTCTACGTTGATTTCTGGTCGACTTTTTTCCCCTCCTTTACTGCTGTTTTTTGGTCGTTTTATTTCTTTTTTCCACCGAAAGCCTCTTGTCCTCTTCTTGCATATTTTCTTTGTTGGTTGTTGAGATTAAGATGGGATTACGTGAAATCATCCCCTAATTTTCGGGGTTATGTGTTTGGTTTTGACTTAAGGTTGCTTGCTTGCAGATTTCATGTGGGAGGCTGCACGTGGGAGCTGGAAATGATGCAAAATGGGTTAGGTCTTGAAACTGGGTCAAACTTGGGCCTACTCTGCTTTGTGGGCTCGGGTCTTGTAATTGTTGTTGTAATTATTTGTACTCTAGTTGGGCTTGTAAGATGTAAATAGACTTTAGACACTTAATTTGCATCGAATTTCAATTTGTGTCTCGATTTCCATATACGATTACAATTTCAATTGAGCACCTAAAGCTTCCAAAAGCAAACTTCCACGCTTCATCATTTGAAATAATTCTTCATCGAGCACCAACACCTTCAAATTATTTCCCGATCATCTTTAAATGAAATTAAAATGTCCGGTCAAAATTAGGGTATTACACAAGCGTTAGGGAAGAGATGGAGGGACCACAAGAGCTCCTTAAAGAAGAAATACTTCAAGAATGATCTCAACCTTGAAGAGAAGCTGCAAACAGTTCTACATGGAATGCTCAGGTAACAATGGGAAGATGCAGTCAGATTTTGGAGTTCACAAAAATGACAGGTATGATGTATTTTTCAGAAATAATTGTAACGAATTATAAATTATCATTAAAAGCGGTTGTTTGATATTGTAGGACCGAGAGCATGTTGGTGCTGCTAGCAGGCAACATCAAAAGTTTACGCACACGGATGGATCGAAGAGTTTTGCTTGTATAGCTAATGAGGAGGTATTATAGATTATTGACATTGTTTTTTGTATTCCATGTACATACTAACTCATAGTAACTATATTATGGTACATTGTAGGAAAATACATCCGGTTCTAAAGTTGGTCGAATCCAACTATTCGACATGACACGTACGAAGAAGGATGGCCTCCTATGACTACTGAAGCTGCAGAAATTATGGTACGTTTATTGGGTAGATGTTTTAAATTTACCTGACTTTATTTATATTTCTACCATGACATTTTTTATTTTAATTAATTATTCACCTTATTTTTAGGAAAAATTGAGGGAGAAAAGGACGGAGTATCATGCTACTGGTTAGAGTCAAGGTCTTGTTAATGATGATGACATTGAAAACCGAGCTATTAATGACGTTTTGGATCCTGAAAGATATGGCCGGGTGCATTGTCAAGGATAATTTGTTACACCCGCCAAATATTTTGGATCTAGTTCATCACAGTACATGTCATCACAGTCTCAATCTTCCCAATTAGAAGTTAGTCGTTTAAAACAAAAGTTGGCTAAGATGGATCAACAAATGGCTAACTTGAAAGCGGAAAATGAAGCAAGAGAAGCAGCTGCAGCACAGAGAGAAGCAACATATCAACAGAGATGTGAAAAATTTGAAAAACGACTCAATGATATTATGCATATGATACATAAAACTCAACCTCAAAATCCACCATCATAGTCTCATTTATGTTATCAGCATTCTGTTAATGTTATTGAACGTTGTTTAACTGAACTTATATTACGTTAATGAAAACTTTTATTTATTATATTGGATTTGATGTTGCTTGTTATGGATATAGAGTTTGATGTTATTGTTGTCATGTTTGTTGGATAATGGAACAGGTTAAAAAATAGATTTGGGGTAATCGACAATAATTTTTTAATTTGTTAAATTCTGAGTTATTTAGCGGCGTTTGTAACAAAAAACGTTGCAATATATCATACATTTAACAACGTTTGTATAAAAAAAATGCCATAAAATATTAACAACTATTGCGGCGTTTTTTGTAACAAACGTCGCTATATATCAACATTTAGCCGCGTTTGTATACTAAAAATGCCGCTATATACCAGATCTTTAGCGGCGTTTCATCCTAAAAACGCCACTATATACCAGACCTTTAGCAACATTTGTATCCAAAAAACGCCGCTAAATCTCAAAACATATCGCGGCGTTTGTAAGACAAACGACGCTAAATATCAGCACCTATTGCAGCGTTTGTTCAACAAACACCGCTATATATCGTTGCCTATTGCGGCGTTTTTCATTAACAAACGCCGCGAACTTTAGCGGCACTTTTTGCGGCGTTATGTTTTTTGCAACGCTTAAAAACGCCGCTATAGGTAAAAAAAAGCCGCAAAAAATCAATTTTACTGTAGTGTTTGGAGTTTAAATTTATTTGGATACAAACAATAGAGTATTATATTGGAATATACTTGGTACAAACAATAATTACAAAACCTACAACAATTAGGTTTTTTATCCAAATAATATCCTCAAAATAATTAAATATTAAATTAATATTTTTAATCATTTATCAAAATGATATTTTTTATATCATGTAAAATAAAAATATACTAATTAATTGTATCCAATAAAATGTCAATCAATTAAAATTGTCTGAAATTTCCAAATTAGTTTTTTTGGCGGAAATGGTAAGTTGGTAACGGTATCCTGGAGTTTTAATATTTAAAATCCAGCACCAATTCTATTTAATCCACATAGATTTCACAATCGAAAGCGCAAAAACCAATTATTATTCAACATTGGGCAGAAAAATGGAAGAAAGGATGATATTTGCATTGACAATGAAAATTTCAATCGCCATAGCACCAGTCTATGGCGAATACTATTCCAAGACAGTCACACCAACTTCAAAGGTGGAGAAGGTAACTCATCTCCACTTCTTCCTCCACGATATCCTCAGCGGACAAAACCCCAGTGCGGTCATAGTAGCCCGTGCTAACCTCACCAAGAAAGACGACTCCGTGCTCCCATTCCGCAGCCTGATCCGCTCAGAGTCGGCCCCGATCCTACATCGAATATAATCGGCAACGTTCAAGGACTCTACTTATCATCCAGTCAAGTCGCTTCCAAGTTTACCATAGTTTTGTACGCCAATTTCGCTTTTACGAGCGGCAAGTTCAATGGGAGCTCCTTCGGTATATTCTCGAGGAATCCGGTGACCTAAGGCGACCGCTAAGTGGCGGAAGTCGGAGGGAGAGGTAAGTTTAGGATGGCTAGAGGGTATGCCAAAATCAAGACCAGTCATTTTAATGCTACTACTGGGGATGCTATTCTCGACTACAAAGTTACTTTGTATAATTACTAAAACAATAGGATTTAGCCATACAGGCATCCAGATCCAAGTATGATACATTTTCATAAGACTGAAAATGTAAAATTACATTCTATATATTTGTTACGATGATTCCTTGAAGAATGAGTAGATAATAGTATTTTTTTATTAAGTTAAGATGATTATAAAATAATATTCATTCTAAGTACTCGTAACAATTTGATAATAAATACAGACAAAAAGTGGTCATATATGAACATGTTTTTTTTAAACGGAAAATCTGGGCAAGAAGGTAATAATATTTGTGAATCAATGAAGATAATGTATTTGATTGGATTAATATATAATACCTATTCGGATTTCTTAAGTGAATGATATTCTCTTTTATTACTTAGACTACTTGATGATTTTAATTAAAAAGTAATTTTAGAAAATACATTTGTTTAGAAAAAATAAAATTAAATAGGATGTTTTAAAAAATTTATATCAATGTAAAAAAATTAAAAAGAGAATAGAACTATTTTTTCCAATTTTTATTTTTAATTTTAAAAACATGGAGTGTTCTTTATTGTTTAGTTTTTGTTAGAGTTGTGTGATTGTCAAGCTGCTCAAGACATTTGGAGAAGCCTTGCCCTGTCGTCCCTCCAGCAGGTTTTTTTACCAGTCCCCTCAACGGCTTCAATCCAATCTCTCCACACTTCAGCAGGCCCCTGACCACTCCCTGAAATCTCCTCTTCCCCACAATTTTATGGCACACTTGGAAGCGTCGAAATTCATTCTTATTTGAAGATTTTTGCTTCAGTGGTGGAAGTTTTAAATTTAAGCCTTGCTTGGTCCTCCTCTCTCAGTACCGCCCGCTGTGCTACTGATATTCCCCCGCCTCGCCAAACGAGTATGATCATGTGGACTCCACCTCCAGCAGCCTGGTAAAGCCTCAATGTAGATGCTTCATTAGACGCCTCTTCAAACTTCAGCTCTGTTTGGGGTGCTAAGGTCTAGTGATGGCAATTGGATTCTTAGGTTCCATAAATCGATTGGAATTGCTTCTACACTCCAGGCTGAACTTTGGGCAATTTAAATCGGCTTGCAAGTAGCTTGGGGTCTTGAATGTATCTCTGTTCAGATTCAATCGGACAACCTGCAGGACATCAATTTCCTCCATAACCTGGCCAATGACGATTCTCAGCTCTCTCTCGTTCGTGCTATTTCCCAATATCGGAGTCAGGATTGGAACACCGATTTACTTTGGGTTCCCTGTGAAGCCAATATGGTTCGCTGACGGTATGGTCAAACTCTCTCGGTCACTGAATTACTCGCTGCAGCTTCTCAGAAATTCCTGATCGCATCCTTCCCTTGCTGAAAAGGGCTGCATCGGGTTCCCCTTACACTAGATCTCATGTAACTAGTTAAGGCTTTGCCTCCCACCTATCATTTAAAAGAAGAGTTGTGTGACTCAAATTTTTTAAACGGGCCAGAGATAATGAAGAATAAACTCACTTAAATTAAAGATTAAAATAGGAATTTGCTTTGGCACTTGGAGATTAAACTGTATAAAACTTTACTTTTCCCTTTGCGGTATAAAAATTAAAAAATTCGATTTGTGTAGATTTGTAATATCTCAAATTTTGGATAGTAATCAAAATGTAAAAATTAAAAGTTTAGTGGCCAAAGAGTAAACATGGGAAAAGTTTAGGGATCAAAATGATAATATTTCCAAAAAGAAATTTTATCGAGTAAATAAATAGTTTACCCCTAAGAATAACATTTTTGTGTCAATCGGATTTTTCGTTTATATTAAAAGTTATAAAACGAAAATTTAAGAAAAAATTGAAAAATCTGATCAAATGGAATATTATATTTTGAAGAATGATAAAGTAAGGTTAGTAATGTCATTTCCATGTCTTAAATTTGTAAGATTTGACATGAACCATTAGATTTAAATTGATTTTCCATGTTAAACCGGGACCATTGGATGAAAATGATGAAATTGAAATTTTGAGAAAAATATAAGGGCAAAATTAAAAGTTAATAAGGTCAAATGGAATTTCAAGACTTCATTATTTAGTATTATTCATTCATGTTTTCCATATTTAAAGCCTTAAGTTCATGAATTGAATAGATAAAGAGATGTTAGGTTTTGATGTTGATGAATTAAAAACTGCATAAATTATATATAATTAAAAAATTGCTACATAAAAATTAAAACCCAACATTTTTCTAATATTATATTTATAATTTTTAATTAAAAATATCAACATTAACTGAAACTTAATTTTTTTTAAAATATATAAAAATATTAAATATATAATAAAACCAAAAAATAAGAAAAATAATTTAAAAGGTTGAATTTTTTTTATTGAGATCAACAACCACATGCGGTATGACTCATGTCGATTGATATTGACTATTAATTTTTTATGTTTAAATATTTAAAAAAATTATGAATTGAACAACAAGTTAATATAAATAACTTAATATCGTTTAAATAAATTTTGAATTTTCACCGAAAAAGTTTATTTATTAAAATTATATGGGCAACAATAATCGAACCGGACTAATCACTACGGAATTCTAAAACTAAATAGATAAATAATTGTGATTTTTTTTTTGAAAAGTACGAAAATGTATAACAAAACTAAAAAGATAAGGAAAACAATTTTGAACATAAAAGAGTCGATTTTAATATATTTGACTATTGTTGATTAGAGTATAAAGACATTTGATTGATTCTGACTGATACTGACCCTCAATTTCTTTAATGTTTGTTCTTTTATTTTTCAAGCGCTCTCTGATCGTACGTTGCAGTTTTTTTTTTTAATTTTTAATTTTTTTCAATTTTCTAAAACTTAGCTATATATATTATAGATTTTCTTATGTTTTTATAATTCCAATTTTATATATTCTATTAATTTTATAGAATTTTAATATATTTTTATTTTGATAAATATTTGAATTTTATAGCAATTAAGCAATGTATAATGATATATAATATACCAAGTTGAAAAGTAAAAAGAAAAAAAAAAAGAAAAAAAATATATATAAAAACAAAACAAAGTAAAAGTGTTAAGGTTGTAGATAATGAAGTTTCCAATGTGCCGGCAACATTAGAAAAATATATGAAAGCAACAAGTGAATGTGTTGAAATGTCAAATTATACTTGTTAGAGAATTCCACTGTGTTAGTTATCTACATTAGAAATATAAGACATGGTATTACCAGAGTATTGAAATATAAGACATGGTATTACTGGAATATTGTATGTAAGAGAATGACTTGAAATATTTTGTTTGCAAATTATATGAAATGAACCACAAAATAATTTTATGTGAAATGAAGTTAACGTCCAGCACAAATTCTATATAAAGCCATGCAGTCTGCAAGAATCAACCACAAAACCAAGCACTGTTGAGAAGAAAAATGGAGAAACTGATTATAATAGTTGCATCGGCAATGACATTTCTCCTTGCCATAGGACCAGCCTATGGCCAATACTACTCCGAAACTGTTACGCCGCCTCCTCGGAGGGAGAAGATGACCCGACTCCACTTCTTTTTCCACGATATCCTCAGTGGCAAAAACCCGGGTGCGGTCCCGATTGCCCTTCCTAACATCACCAACGCCGGTCTATTCCTCACCTTGATCGCAATGGACGATCCCCTGACCATAGGGCCCGAATTAACATCGACGAACATCGGAAACGCCCAAGGGATCTACGTGTGGACTGCTAGAGACCCTACCATGTTTTCTGCAGTCTTCTACGCTGATTTCGCGTTTACGAGTGGTAGGTTCAATGGCAGCTCCTTTGGTTTGTTCTCGCGATATCCGGAAACGGAAATCGCTCGTGCGAGTGAACAAGTTATTGAACTGGCAGTAGTGGGAGGGAGAGGTGCGTTTAGGATGGCCACGGGGTATGCTCTTACTCGGGTAACTTATGCAAGCGCCGAGAATGGAGATGCTAGTCTCGAGTTCAATGTTACTTTGTACCATTACTAAACCAGATAGCAGAATACTGAAAAAAAACATCAATAATCTTTGTAATTCTCTGAATTTGATTTGAGGAATAAAAACATGATCCGATCTTCATTACAGCAATGTATCTTGCTATGACGAATTATTGTGATATATTAATACGAATCAATCTTAAATGTTCATAATGGAAATATTGTGTAGAATGATGTGAAAGAAGAATCCGATTACAAGTCAGGGAATCCGATTACGCTAAGCAGTAAATTTTAAAGTAAACTACATTAATGGTCATTAAATTTTAGGGTTCTTGTATTTTGGTCAATAAAATCGAAAAAAAATCATTAGAATCACTAAATTTATTGAATGTTATCATTTCGGTCGCTTCCGTTAGTTGTCGTCAACAACAACAGTTTAGTGACGACATTCTTTAAGTTGAGTGACTCTAAAAAAAAATTCGATCATTTTCGTTTACAATAAATTACACTAATAGACATTGAACTTTTATGGTAGTCACCAAACTTACGAAATGTTTTAGTTTCGATCATTTTCATTAACGATAAGTCGAAAACTTCCTTTCTAGTGGACAAAACACGAGCACCTTAAAAATTATCAATAGTTTAATTTACTCTAAACTTTAAACTTTAACATTTCGGTCATTATCATTAACAACAGCTTAACAGCAAAAGTTACTTGTGCTCAGTGATCAAAATGCAAACATCTTAAAAGTTCAGTGACCATTAATATAGTTTACCATAAAATCTATACATATTGAACACATTGCTTTCGTGCATTGCGTGTACTAGGCGTTGAGAAATAAGTCCTAAAAAGAGGAGCTTTAAATAATATGATGGGGTTAATTATACAAATAGATAGCAAAGACAAGACAAAGTAAAAAAGAAAATCGAATTTTCTGACTTATTTTAGCCAAGCGAAGAATAGCGTTGTACTATATAGTATACTTTGCAAATAGAAACAACAAATTTCCAACCAAGACCAAGACTTTTTTCCATCATATTAATTAATTAATATCCAGCTTCCAAGTAGATTATTTTATTTTTATCTATAATTATTTACGCAAATAAACCTAGTTAAATTTAGTTCAATTATTATTATTATTAGTGTGACATATAAAAGTGTTCGATTAAATATATTTTGGTAATTAAAAAATTACTTAATATTAACACTAATTTTATTGTTCTTTTTTAAAAAATCAGCCGGCCGCAGCCTCTTGCGTGATCAAGCTTCATCTTCCTTTTAATATTAATAAGAAGAAAATAACTCAAATGTAAAAGAATATTTGAACAACAAATCATTTTTTTTTCATCTGCACTCGTTCCCTGTAAGAAATCAAACGTGAGTTTTTAGGTTGGAAACAACATTTTAGAAAAGAGTGTTGTAGAAAAATAAGCAATAGCATTGTGCCAGCAGCATATGAAGTTTTTAATTGGTAAGAATTAAGAATGGATAAAGACTTTGAAAAATCAAATTTGAAAGGAAAATCCACCACGGCAAGGAATTATAACGCGGTGGATTTTGCAGCAATTCATGGAAAATATAAGAGAGAGAGTTAGTAAACACGAGAGACTTAAGAGAGCTTAACAAAACCTTATTAGTGTTTGTAAACTGGCAAAAGCCAGTGTCGTATTTGTATAGTGTTTGTACTCGTGTTTTGTTTCGTATTAGTAATATCGTACGATTTATAAAATTCAGAGGTGGGACTAGGACGGCGTAACGTGCACGACTGAACAAGGCCCTGGAATAACAAGGTCCCAAAAAATTAGATTTATTATTATTGTTACAACAAAAAAGCAAACAAAGAATTATTTTTAATTTATTCTTAAAAAATGTAATACGAGCATCACGTTTTTATCAAACATGGCGTAATAAAAACACAATTCTTATTTACGTATGGCATGACTTCTCATCACGTTTTGGCTTTATTTTCATTTTGTTTTATTGATCTTGAGTTAACAGTATTATGCAAGGATATAAAATTATATAATGAGGAACGAGTTTTTAAAATTTTAAAATGGATAAGTTTATTAAATTTTAAGAGAAAAATAAATTTTTAATAAAAAATATATAAAAAATTTAAAATATATAATGCAATTTAAGGGACTTAAAGTGTAATTTTCTTATTGACGAAAAGCATGGATTTCACCATATTGATTTAATCTTATCATCTTTTCTTCCTCTTCATCTCTTTTTTTTTCCATTTTTCCTTTTCCAAAGTATTGAAAACTCTAAATTAAATATGCCATCTCTCTTGTTTTAATCCTCTATGCGGGGCTCCAAGAAGAGCTCAAAAAATAGTGAATGAAAGAACCCATGGGTTTGAGGAGATTTCAAAAAAAAAAAAAAAAAGATAAATTCATATTACGCCATGTTTTGATTCTTTTTTTTTTCTTTCTATTTCTAGATTATTGTTATATCATAGAGTGTTTAGAATCTCTTTTCTATGTTGGTAAAAGAAAATAGAATTTTCTTAACCTCTGCAACTTTAGGATTTGCTTAGCCTCAATTTCAATCGATCATCAAAATAGAAATTTTTCTTAATGATGTACACCGGTTACAGTCGACGAGGCTCAACCCCTGCAGCTAACTTTTCTCTCTGGTTAACTGAAATTTTCAAGCTTATCATCAAAATCCGACTCTTTTTGGTCTAACCATGTCTATCGTCGCTAGATCAAAAATAACTTTAAGATATGAAAAAACCCGACTCGGGTTATAGAGTCTCACTGAGAATCAAACTTGACCTTGATTCCCCTCAGCGAACCATCACTAAGTTTTTCACAGGAAGTCGAATTATGATCAACCGATCTGACTTTCAAACTTCAAGAAAAAACAATCTTCAAATCAACGTGCACTTTTTGAGTTGAAGATGTAATAACTTTTAAGGGAATGGAAACTTCAGTTTCTAGAGAATCGAAGATTACAATCTGAAGGTATAAATAACAAGACTCAATTCTCACTATTAGAATTGAGCTTTGTAAAACCTTTGGCTAAGTAAAAGTTTAGCTAAGTATAGATTTGGATCATGTTTAACATTGTGGAAAGAAAATAACAAAAGAAAAGTGAAGATGAAAGAAAATCAGAACTTCAATAATTAACCAAGGAAAAATAAATTTCAATATGTTTTTCAATTGTTAAACTTAAGGTTATTTATAACCTAAGAGTTCTAAGTAAAAAAAATAACTAATTCATAAATAAAATATAATAGTAAAGATAAAATAATCAAACTAAAAATCCTTTCGAGAGTTCTAAGTAAATAAAATAACTAATTCTTAAATAAAATATAATAATCAAATTAAAAATCTAAAATTAAAAATGTTTATCACAAAAGATAAAAGTAAATATTTAAGTCTTGTAGTTCTAGTTAGATAAATTCCAAATTAAATATTCAAGATAATTTCACTCGTCTTCTAGAAGATGTTGACTGGAGTAAATAATAGTAAAAATATGCAATATTCAACGCTTATCAAATTCTTCAATGCTTGTCCTCAAGCATACTTCAATTCAACATATTAAGTTTTCATTTACCTTCTATCATCTCACTTCACATCTCAAAATACCAACAACATCAAGTCCTCATCAAATATCCAAACCAAAATAACAATCAAGTAGAAGAGTATGAATAGGATAAATTTATGGATAAATCAGAACATCCTTTTAATTCATTAATTTCAAATGCAACAAGACTTAACACCCGAGCAAGGATTCACTCAATACTCTCGAATTGTTTAGGGTGTAATCAAATCTCAAAGTCAGAACATAACACAATATTAATAAAGTGTTGTTTTTTTAATAATTTTATTTAATCACTCTTGTAGTGATAAGTGTTTGTTGTTTGGTAAAAAATTTATCATCACTTGATTGATCTAATAAAATTATTAAAAAGATTTATCATACTGCCCAATAAATTTATTAAAAAATAACACATGTTGTGTTAATGAAAATATAGAAAAATAAAATTATCATATCGACCAAGGTAGAAGTATAATAAAATTAAAGAATATTAAAACTGAATAAGTATATACTTAAAAAAAATAGCATGAACCAACTTATCTCAGTAGTTAAATGAATCATTTATGTTTCTAGAAGTCACGAGTTCAAGCAGCAGCGACTGCAGCAAGGTGATTGAGCCTTTATTATCAAAGGGTTAAAAATATTAAGAACAAATACTAATTTAGTAATTTATAATCACCTTACTATAAATGCAATAATAGTGACTAATACATAGGCTAAACACCACAAGACAAGAAAAACATAAAGACACAAAAGCAATGAGCTAGGTTATTAAAGATATTGGAGACCCTAATCAGCATTGATTATGATTTGTAGACTTTATATAACCACGGTGAAGTGAGCAAAAAGGGTCAAAGCCCAAGTCTGTCCACATGAACCGTCGTCTGACTCAGCTCCATGGATAAGGATTCATCAAAGCATTATCATTATCGAGTCGACCTAATTGGTTTTGATCGATCCCGCACACCACTTATCATTTTTTCTTTACCTCTATTATATTAACCCCACACATCCCTTGTTGTTACCTCAAAATCCTTAGTTTTCTTTAACTTCTGGCCTTTTAGTATCCAACAGAGATGGCTTCATCTTTGTACTCAGTACTCGGGATCCCGACGACTGCTGACGGGAACGAAATCGGAGCAGCCTATAGGAGACTCGCAAGAATGTGTCACCCTGATGTTGTCTCCATCAAGAAGAAAGAGATGTCAGCAAATCTATTCATGAAAATCCATGCAGCACATTCCACGTTATCTGATCCTGTTAAACGTGCAGATTATGACAGGGGTCTTTACGGTCGGAAGTCGGAACAACATCCCCTTGGATTCGTCTGCAGCAATGGCTGCCGCAGCAGCATCAGGGTTTTCTAGCTATAGTGGTCGTGGGAATTGGGAAACTGATCAATGTTGGTAGCTAATTAACTGATGTAGTGATTAATATTCCAGTGGGAAAGAATAGTTTTAACTGGTTTATGTTTATAAACTAGAAGGCAGCCTTTTTTGTTCACTTCCGGCCGGAAAGAACAGAAGCATCTTAATGCTGTTTGTATGCCTGTAAATAACATGGAAAACTTTTGTTTTATAACTTTCTTTTTTCTTATGCCTCTGTTTCGTTCTTCCATGTATTGCTTCTTCATTGGAACTGAATTCATTCCTTCAATTAATCCACACTTACTACAAATGTTATATCTGAACTTGTGTTGTGTGTGCCAGATATATCAACCTTCCAACAAGCCATAATAGGATCTTTCGTCAATTATGGGATTTTATGGAGCATTGCATAATCCATGATTGAATTCGACCCGCGTCTCAACTAGTTTATAACCCATCTTCCATGTTTCTTTCAGCAAGTCGGATACGTATTGTTGTTGGGATATAAAAATGCCTTGCTTTGAGTGCTCTACTAACGACCTGTACGTACGAGTTACGACCGGCACACAGAATCATAGATGACTCCAAACAGGTCCTCGATAAGGCCCTAGATACTGACAACAAGTGCCGTGCGACTGGTCTCGTAAAGCATGTTTTTATTGTTATCTCCGCCACAACTTTTAGGAAACTATCAATGCGACTAGAGAACTCCACAGAAGATGTTCCATATCGCTTATTGTTACCGGCACGAACCGATCAACCTTAGTGATAAAGAAATTGTTGTAACTTCTTGAGGTTCTAGGTTCGAGCACCAACAATGTTAGGTATGAGCGTTCAATGTCAAATGGTTAAGAGTTATCTTTGAACATATATTGTCTTGTACTTATCCAAATTAATAAAAAAAAAATACTGTTATGGTTACCGGTGTCGGCCTCGGATGGTGATCATGATAACGTCCCATTGCAGCAAGTGAGCTGACACCGTGCCTTGTACGGGAACCAATTTCTCTTCTTCATACCGGTTCATTAGTTGAACGATCTTATGCGGCTGGCTGCTGCTTTGTTGGTTTCTTTGGTTCGGGACAATGATCAATACGGTAAGCTGATGACAGAGGAAGGAGGGATCTCTCTTTTATTGAAGTTGGAAAAGGGAAACAGGAAGCTCAGGAGAATGCAGCAAGGGCAATCGGGCTGCTGGGACGTGACCGGGAAGTGTCGATCAGATTGTGAATGCAGGTGCTTGTTCGGTGTTTGTGAAAACCCTTACAGAAGGTCACATGAAGGTTCAACTATTGTTGCTTGGTCTGTATCAGAATTCTCTGCAAAATACCCTAAATTCCAATACCATTTTGCAGAAAACAACATAATTCGGTTTATCGTCAGTTATCTCGCCCAGCGAAGAACAGAGCAAACATACCATTGTGAGTAAGCAAACAATGCCCACTCATCAGCACCATCCACGCATGCACAAACATATTTCCATTATTCGAAACTAGCCATAAGTAAGACCCAACCACCAAAGCACAAATGAAGCCAATGGCAGCAACAACTCTTTGGAAGCTTTGCAAGGGAAATCTTGGTGTATGCCGCGACATAAGTGCATAACGGAATCGAGAGCTCTATCGTGCCTTGCACAGATAATGTATAGTCCTATTCCGCCATGGCATTAATGGAAATAACTTAAGTTGCAGAGCACAATGCTGAGTTGAGACTCTCTTCTTTTAAGCCTACTTCTCATACTTATAGAGCTGTAGTGGAGCAGTTGCTCAGAGTCATAGAAAAAGAAGACTCTGAGACCTCCTTGCATCAAAGCAATTGGAAACTTGGCCTGAACTTTCCAAGCAACCGAAACAAGGGTCATCGGACCATTAGTGAAACTGCTCGACGAAAGGGAAGCTGATATTTCCATGGAGACTGTCATTGCACTCAACAAATTCCCCACCCATTTGATTAAAACGTTATACTTTTTTGGAGAAAAAAAATTGTTCAGGTTCCTTCTTTGACACTTGTGTGTTACAATGCGTTCAATGTTCCCGGCGGTGAGAACCCTTGGGTGCTTATAGTACTTAAGTGGGCATCAAAGCAAGCTCATCTATGTCCACATCCTGGTATTACTGTTTTATTACCAGCAGTCAAAAGTAAGTTGGAACTCTATCAATCGGGGAATTCAAGACCATACCATTAATCAACTTTGTTCAGTTTTGTAAGCTTTCTCCCTGATGAAGCTGTATATAAATTAGCTTTGTTGGTTCAGTTCTACACGTTAGAAGAAGGGTCTGTTAGGTCTGTTTCAATTGATTTTCCGAAAAATATTTTTTTAAGGTTTAATAGGAAAAAAATTGATTTATATAATTCATTTTATTGATAATTTTGTTTTACATCTTCTAAAAATACTTACATTCTGATTAATCGAACCCTTTCTAAAATTTTAAAACATGAAAATTTCAAAAAAATAATAATTAAAATACCAATTCAATAATTTAGAATACAAAATTATTCATCGAGGGTAAAGTACAAATTTGGTAACTGAAGTTTACTATCTCTCCTACTCCACTTATTGTACTTTAAATTTTTTCAATTTTATCTCTAAACTTAATTCATTGGATTTTTTTGTCACTTAGTCATTTTCTCTCTAACGGCGTTATGAAGTGGCTTTTTTGTTAATAGATGAGTGACTAAAACAATCTAATGCATAAAGTTCTGTGAGAAAATTGAAAAATTTAAAAGTGTAGTGAGTGAAATAGAAGAAAGAGTAAAATTTAGTGATTAAATTTATAATTTACCCATTAAAAAAGTCACGCCGCCTTAGTGATGAAATAGCTGAGTGACAAAAAAATCCAATGTGACAATTAGGGATGGGTGTGAGACCCGAACCCGATGGGTTCTGACCCGACTCGATCGTGTTGGGGTTTTTTTAAAAATTCGGGTTCGGGTCATTTTTTTAAGGTAATGTTTGGGTCGGGTTTGGGTTTAGGATGAAAAATATCCGACCTGACCCGACCCCAAATTTTTTTTACCATATATATATATATATTTAAGGATAATTATAATAATACTCCTCTATTTATTATTATATTTCAATTAAATTCATATTTTTATTGAATAAAAATAATATTTTATTATTATTTAGGGTCAGTTCTAGTTGAATTCAAATTCTATCTCAGAAAGTCAGGTCAGATTAAAGTCAGGTGGATGGTGTAAAATTTTCGGGTCGGGTTGGCCGAAACCCGATCCCTGCCCATCCCTAGTGACAATGTATTAAGTTTAATGAGAAAATTAAAAAGAATTAAAGTATATTGAGTGGAATAGAAGACTGAGTAAAGTTCAATTACCAAATTTGTATTTTACCCAATAAACAAGTAATTAATTACAATTAATCATGACAATTTTAAATAGATAAATACGATAGTATAAGATTAAAGAACAAGTAATTACTTAAAATTAATCATGACAATTTTCTAGCTCCGTGCACTCTGCGAATAGATAAATACGGGATAAGATTAAAGATGGCGGCGGATTAGGATCGAAGTTTTGATCTATTGATTCGGCTCGAAAATATGCATCATTTATCTGAATTTGATATGATTCGAAAATTTGATATCATTCATTTGATTTAACCCGACTCAAAGAATATATACTATTCATCTGACTCAACCTAAATTTTAAGAGTATAAATTTGACCATTCCTAATATAAAATAAAAAATTAATTAAAAAATTTAAAATTTAAAAAAAAATTATATTATTATCCTCTGATCAAGTCGGGTCAGAGTTTTTTACTCTCTACCCGACCCCTCAAAACTTTGACCCGACCCAATCAAAACTCAATCTTTTTTAAAAAAAAAATTGACCTATCAATCTAGTTAGATCGAGACCTGTCAGATTCAGATTAAATTGCCATCGTCCTTTTGATCATATATTTTTCCAAAAAAAATGCTTTTACCGTAGGTTCCAACTTCCATCAAGTTACCATCTTTTCTTTCTTAAGACCCTGAACTCTTTCGTAATTTCACATTTCGACGACGCCCTTTCTCATCATACAATCAAACGCTTCATATTCATCCACCCAATCCCACAGCCCCAGCCGCCCGATCCTTTCCTCTGAAACCCGGCAACGTTTTGATTCGTCCCTTCAATTAAGAGAATATATATTTAGGGTAAACTACATCCAAAGTCACTTAATTATGAATTTAACAAATATGTCATTTTTAAATATATATATACGATAAAATAAAAATAAATCACTTAAACAAGTTATTTAATTAAAATGCGATTACAAACGGATCATTTAACCATTAATATTAAAATAAATATCTAATTTGAATTTCTATAATAACATTTTTAATATTCTATCAATTTTATTTTAATTCAAAATATTTCAATAATTTGACCTTTCATATTTAAAATCTCTATTAATCTAACATTTTATGATATTATCAAATCAATCGAGACAATCATATTAAAATAATAATTGAATAATTTCATTCCTCCGTACAGTGACAATTAGAATTTTATTACTAGAAAAATAATATAATATTTTAGGAGAAGAACAATCAATTTAGAAGAAGAAGAAAGACTAAATTTATGAATTTATTAAATATGAAGTGTGGAATTTTTTAAATTATTTTAGATTAAAATCAAATTGGTAAAGTACATAAGTTTTAAAACTTATAATTATTAGTCACTATTTTATTTAATATTTAATAATAAAGTGTTTTTTTTTATATTTAAGAGACCTATTTATAACATTGAGAGAGAGAGAGAGAGAGAGAGGGAAATGACATTTTGTTAATATGCATAGCTAAGTGACTTTGGATGTAGCTTACCCTTATATTTATAATTAATTATGATTATATATTTTCCCTAATCTGACGTGGCACTCACACCTGTTGATATATTGTCACCCCCGGCTCCGGCTCCGCTTCCTATTTGCGGCCTCTATTTGTTTCTCTGATATTCTCTCTTTTTGTTTGGGGGAGGAATTTTCTTTGAAGGGAATGGGTGATAATAGGTTGAGCGGGAAAGTGAAGTGGTTCGATGACCAGAAGGGTTATGGCTTCATAACCCCTGACAACGGCGGCGACGATTTGTTCGTTCATCAGTCTTCCATCTGCTCCGATGGTTTCCGTAGCCTCGCCGACGGTGAAGAGGTCGAGTTTGTTATTGAATCCTCCGGTGGCAAAACCAAAGCCGTCGAGGTTTCTGGGCCCAACGGCAACCCAGTCCAAGGAAGTACGAGATCCGGACGCGGTGGCAGCGGAGGCGGTTATGGCGGCGGTTACGGTGGCGGCGGAGGCGGCGGCGGCGGTTACGGTGGAGGTGGATCTGGTGGCTATGGTGGCGGAGGAAGGAGAGGTGGATATGAAGGTGGAGGCGGAGGTGCTTGTTATAAGTGCGGTGAGATGGGTCATATGGCACGCGAATGTGGACAAGGCGGTGGCGGTGGTGGAGGTGGAGGCAGATTTGGTGGAGGCGGAGGAGGCGGTTGCTACAACTGTGGAGGTTCCGGTCATTTTGCTAGGGAGTGCCCAAACGGCGGTCGCTAGTTTTCAAATCTCCATTTGAGCTCTTTTTTTTCTCTTTCGCTACATCTTTTGTTTCGATGGTTATTATTATTATCCTATGATTTGGCTTTTTATGATGTTTTTTCTTGGTTTATGAAGAACTTTTGCAACTAGTCCTATTCATGTTACTTATTTCTCGTTTCTGGTGTTTTTGATGTAATGGGCACTTTCCTTGGTCTTGCGGTGGAGTTGAATTTAGTATTGATGTGAAAGGTGATGAAAGGAAAGGATGTTAAAATCCTTCACTATCTGTTATCTCAAAGTGTTTATATAGATATAATATACAAATGCAAACTGGTGGATTGGCTCAATCTTCTCCCTCGCATGAGTATCATTTTCTAGTTTGGTTAATATAAGATCTGATCAAATATATCTCTCAAGGCAATTGCTTGATATCTGTGAAAATATTATATAGCCTGCTGGAAACAGGTGTTTGATGTGATTCAAGTGTGCTTGTAAAATTGTAATTTGCAGCAAGTTGCCTTTTTCAACGGGTTTCTTTTGTAGATATGTAGGGACAATGGATCTTTTTCGTTTCCTTATAATATATGATTGAAATGGATTGGGGCTTAAAAATGTATGAATAATACACCATAAAGTCTCCCGATTATAGGGTTAATTGCCCTTTATATATTTGCTTGTGGTCCTTTGCCTTTAAACCCTTTTCTCTGCTGGGGTTCAATAAATGTTTAGTCCTGCCTACTATGTTTTTTAGTGTGCTTTAGTGGAACAGAATCATTAGGGTGTGTCGGTGGATTTAATGCATACTTTGATTGAACTTGGGGAATTGTTGTTTTCTTATTTGTTCCATTTAGGTTAAGAAATTGAACGATTGCATATTATTAGGAAAATTTTGAAAAGAACTCGGCTTTATAGTTTTTGCTCGAGTTGAAGTGACTAATTCTAATTTTCTTGCTGAGTTCTCTTAAGAGGTATATAATTGATCATGAAATATATTCCATTACTATTGGTGAGTTTAGGTGTATGATTGATCATGAAATATATTCCATTACTATTGGTGAGTTTAGGTGTATGATTGATCATGAAATATATTCCATTACTATTGGTGAGTTTAGGTATTTGATTGATAATAAAATATGTTTCATTCCTATTGGCGGGGTGTAACGCTTGACTTCATGCTTGGGTAGTTGGTGGTGATTGATGTGTATAAAAATAGGGTATTATTCGCCCTAATGAAATCTCATTTACAAATTGTTGGCACCTTTGATTGAGGCTAATCTTTGGGTACTGCCCTACAAAGCTCCAACTTTTAAGTAATGGGTGTTTCCATTAGGAGACAACATTGTCAGCTTATGTGAATGAGAATTGAGGTTCACTTGTTAGATTGGGCTCAATCTTCAAATATATCAACAATAAGTAAATTGCTTCCTCTGCTTTTGGTTAGAGCTCTGCATGTAGAAAGAAGAGCATTGTCATCCAACCAATATCATTTGTCTTGTCGACAGAGTAAAGAAGAAATACTTTTATCTGAAAAGCCTTCAAACCCTTTATTTTTACCTCAGGTAGCATGCTCTTGGAGATGGAATCTCTCTTTTTTTCCCCCTCATATTAAAGGATGCTCTGCAACCACTGCAACATTTAGCTTTTTCATGGCTGCAAGATCATTAAGATTCCCACGCTGCTACTATATTTAGTAAAGTTTAACCTAATTAGTTCACATAGTGACCTATTTATATTCTTTTCACATCTCTACAATTTCTTTTAGGGTAAAGTGTATAAATAGTCTCCTAACTTTTAAGGCATTTACATTTTGATCACCCAACTTTTGAAACTTGCAATACAACCATCGAATTTTTAGTTCATCTTCGTTTTAGTATATGTAGTTACCATTCGTTAGTTTTTTATGACGGGGCACTTAACCTCGTTACCTCCCCTTCTCTTACTTCTTGCACAGAAGCTCCTCTTATAGCCGTCGCAACTTCTTTGCTACACTTCACTCCCAACCCAACATGTCCATTTCCATCGCCAACCACGACGAAGGCCTTGAACCGGGTATTAGAGAATTAATTATAACAAATTTTATTTAAATTTTAAATTATTGTAATCAATTATAATATTCTTGTGATTAGTTGTAATTCCCTAACTCTAGGCTAGCCTCCTATTTATGTGCCTTGTAATTAGTTGTAATCCCCTAACTCTAGGCTAGTTTCCTATTTCTATGTGCCCCATCTTGTGTATATATATACACTCTTAATCAATGGAAAACTCAAGCCATTGTTTCTCAATACTCTTCTCTCTATTTTAACATGGTATCACGAGCCTAATCTTCCAAAACATATTTTCCTCTCTTTTTTTCCCTTCAAAAACACCACGATCCTTCATATACATATATATAAAACTACGCCACTAGTCCCTTCAATGGCTTCCCATACGACTTCCTCTTCTACCAACGACACTATTACTATCTAAAACTCTCAAGATCCTCAACATCCTCTCCTTACAATAAATCTCTCCAATATCACCAAATTGTCATCCACCAATTATCTCACATGGAGCCTTCAAATCCAATTTCTTCTTGAATGTTATGATCTTCATCATTTTATTGATGGCACTCAAACTCCACCACAACCCACAGTCACTGTCAATGATGTTACATCTCCAAATCCGGCGTACATAACCTGGAAGCGTCAGGATCGTCTCCTTTTTAGCGCTCTCCTTGGTGCCATATCCGTTTCACTACAACCGCTTATTGCCCGCACCACCACTTCCCTTGATGCATGGCAAACCTTAGCTAATACCTACGCCAAACCATCTCGTGGTCATATTAAACAATTGAAGGAACAATTAAAGTGGTGTACCAAGGGCTCAAAATCAATTAGTGAATACATGCAGGCGAAAAAGACTTGTACCGATAAACTTGCTCTTCTAGGGAAGCCAATTGATGATGAGGATCTTATTGATCGGGTTCTAGAATGACTAAGTGATGAATATAAATCTGTCATTGATACCATTAATGCTCGTGACACGCCAATTTCTTTTGCTGAACTTCATGAGAAACTTCTCAATAAAGAAGCATCTCTTCAGACCGCTCAACCACCTTCCCTATCACTACCAGCCACAAAAAATCCCACGACCTTTTGGAATCGTCCAAATTGGCGTCCATCAGCCACTAATTCACAACAATCAGGCCCTACCACTATATTTTCTTCTCATGATCAACGCCAACCCAAACCTTATTTGGGTCGTTGTCAAGCATGTGACACTCAAGGATACACTGCCAAACGATGCCCGATGTTTCAGCTTGTCACTAATCAACAATCACCAACATCTCATCCTCAAGGCTCTCAGGGATATCGCTCCTCCACACCCTGGAAACCATGAGCCAATCATGCTATTCTGGGCAACAACACTACACCTACTTGGCTGCTGGATAGGGGAGCATCTCACCACGTTACATCTGACTTGAGCAATCTCTCTCTTCATAGCTCGTACCAAGGATCTGATGATGTCATGATTGGTGATGGATCGGCCTTTCACATAACCCATACTGGTTCTACCACCATACCTACTTCCTCTCGCACCTTTACTTTACAAAATGTTCTTTGTGTCCCTTCCATGAAAAAGAACTTAATTTCGATTTATCAATTTTGCACTCATAACCATGTTTCTATTGAATTCTCACCCTATTCTTTTCAGGTGAAGGATCTAAACACGTGGACAATCATTTTGATGGATGAACCTACGGATGGCGTATATGAGTGGCCGACTACATCCCCTTCAGTTTCCTCTCCACCATTGCTTGCATTTTCCAGTGTCAATACCACTTCGTCCGAGTGGCACTCTAGACTAGGTCATCCATCATTTACTATTATGAAAAATATTGTTTCCAAATTTCCTTTACCATTGTCTAGTCTGTTATCCTCCTTCACACATTGCAATGCATGTTCATGCAATAAAAGTCATAAAATTCCATTTTCTTCTTTTACCTTAACCTCATCTCACCCGCTTGAACTTATCTTTTCTGAAGTATGGACATCTCCTGTTTATTCTGTTGATGGTTTTCAATACTATGTTATTTTTATTGATCATTATACACGATATATTTGGTATTATCCCGTTAAACGAAAATCTCATGTATATGATGTCTTTGTACATTTCAAGGCATTAGTCGAAAACCAATTTAAACATTGAATTGTTACCTTCTATTCAGATAATGGTGGTGAATATCAATCCCTTGATCTTTCCCTCTCCACCAATGGTATATCACATCTTACTACACCACCCCATACACCAGAACATAATGGTTTTTCTGAATGACGTCATCGACATATTGTTGAAACTGGTTTATCTCTCCTCACTCATGCATCAATGCCTTTAACTTATTGGACTTACGCCTTTGCCACTGTTGTATATCTCATCAACCGTATGCCCATACCCACATTACATATTTCATCTCCTTTTGAGAAACTCTTTGAGTCTCAACCCAACTACACTAAACTTTGGGTGTTTGGTTGGTTATGTTATCTGTGGCTTCATCCTTATTCTCAGCATAAACTTGACTCTTGCTCAACTCCTTGTGTCTTTCTTGGTTACTCTTCAACACAAAGTGCATATATCTGTCTCGCTCTATCCACTTCTAAAATATACATTTCTCGTCATGTCAAATTTCTTGAAAACTCAATTCCCTTTAGCACTCACCAAATCCATCTATCACATCCCACCCCAGAGATCATTTCCAAATGGCTTCCCCCGGTCCAAATTTTACCAATTTCAAGTGGCTTACTCAATACGCCTCCATAAAGGGATTCCTAATGTCAATATCCATCACAAAATACCCAAACAGACCACTGCCCTTCCTCATCAGTCGACCGTCGATCCCTGTCTATAGACCTCTCTTTACCCGAACACAGCTCGGTTAATCGCCAAGAAACCATCGTCGACTATTTACCACTAGAACCACACAATTCTGAGACATCTTTTGCTTCAATCATAGCACAACCCACCCATCAAAATACCCATCTGTTGAAAACATTTTGATATTTCGATATAACAAATTAAGTTAAATGAATTTTAAGATTTTCCAAATGATTTTCTAAGTATATTCGATAGAATTATTCGAATATCAAAACATTACTCCAAATCTTTCAAAGATCATTTTTAATCATTACTCAAAAGTGTAAAATTAAGTTTTAATCTTAAAACAATTTCAAAATAATTTTACAAAGTATTTCGAACCATTTCAAAGCCAAAAATTCCAGATTGCTCAGAGGGAACCGATTCCCCCCTAAGGGGGTACCGATTCCCCCTTAAATGGTTTGGCTCCGAGAATTCCAGTATGCTCGGAGGGAAC